CCCCCCCCCCCCCCCCCCGCGGGCAGAGGCCCACCCGGCAGCTCCCCAGGCGCTGAGGAGGCCGAGGTAGTTAATGGCCGCCAGCGAGGGGTAGCGCCCAGTGTGGGCCTCCCCCGGGGGTCTGTCAGGCTCCTAAGGCAGGTTTTTCTACAGTAAGTCAGCTTCTTACTCTGAGAAGATTAAAAAAAAAAAAAAAAAAAAAAAAAAAAAAAAAAAAAAAGGGACACAAACACACACACACACACGCACACAAAACCCACCAAAACAACACAAAATGTCTGGCCGTATGAGGCTGCAGAGTTTGAACAGCTCCAGGATCAAAAGCTTGGATTCGAATCCAGGTCTCAAGTCCTGGGATATTTGGATGCAGGATCATGGCTCAGTCTTAAAAACCCAAAAGGTGATGCACTAGGACAAGGATGACGTTGAATTCACAGTACAAATGGGAATGTAATATGTGACATACCTGAGTTGATGCTTTCAATCTATGTGGCACTTGTAAAGTCACAGGATTGCACCCCACTTTGGGCATCATGCTTCAGGAGAGATGGAGACCACCTAGAACTGGAGAAAATTCAAAGGAGAGCAGGAAAGATGAACAGAAGTTCTGCAAAACATAACCAGTGTGCAAAGCCTGAAAAAACGATATTCAGCATGTTGGGTGCAATTGTCATGCATTTATTATCTTTAAAAAAAAAAAAAAAAAAAAAAAAAAAGTAAAAGGAAAGCGGTTCACTTGGCCTCACCTTGACCTACGGTGTTGCCCCAAGAAAACTGAGGAGTCTGCCCTAAGGATCCCAAACCTGTCACAGTCTAAAAAACTTACTAACAGTCTTCAAGGTGATGGGAAGATGGATAAAAAAAATAACACCTGCAATCCCGCAAGGCAGAAAGAATACTTAGACTTCATTACACTACCTAAGGGACGGTCTAAATACATTACTTAATGTGGGGAGCGCAAATCTCAACACCTCTGCAGCCTGGATTCCAGAGCTCCAGGTTGTTAAAACAAAAGTGCTCACAAACGTGAAGTTTGGGATGGTACCCACAGGCAGGGCTAGCCCAGAAATGGCCAGAGCTCAGAGGAACGTCCCCTTGGGTCAGAGCCCTTTGATCACCCATTTTATCGCACCTTAAGACTATTTGATACAGGTTTTCAGATGCATTAAGACTGCCTTTCTCTCCCTGAAAAGTCCAAACCAAGTTAAATGCTGGTTTTTTCAGTAGCATCAAATTTGGCTTTCTGGGATGTGAATTTTAGCAATTTTACAACATATAAGTATCTTGATTTTATACTGTTATTCAAATTCACTATTTTACATTCTCCAAGGAAAGGACCCAAGAGACAGCTAAGCTTTTAATAGATAATTCTCACTGATTATAATGGCCTTGCAGTTGGAAAAGCCATGAGGGAGATGCAGGAAGAACTGGAACTACGAGAGGTTTAGATTTTAATCCTGCCCCCTCTGGTCATAAAATACTGAGTCCATTGAGTGGGTGCTCATAAGGTAAGTAACCCACGACTTCACGTAAAGAAAGGTTGTCTGAAAAACTCAAATGTTAATCATTCAGAAGATTGCTAAATCATTTTTTGGGAGGTTTCATTCAAGTGAGCAAACTACAGAAAAGTATTGAGAGCATAAAACGTATTTTGATCATATAGTTACAGGCTTTAAGTCCAATTGCACAAGTTTTTTGAAAGATACAAGTCAGGAAGGCCCTAACTTCATTAATGATTAACAAAATACTAGCTGTTGTTCAAAATGAGCACACAACATCCTCAAAGATAAAGAGAAGCACACAGACCACTATTTACGCTTTTTAAAGGCAATTTAAAGGCTAAGATTCGACTGCCAGCTTCTCCAGAACACACTACTGGTATTTTTGCTGCTGTAGTTGACGTGAGAGTTCTCTGCCCGCCTGTGGGCAGATGAACAATTCATCTGCATAGATAAGGGGAAACTTGAAAATGGAAGATTCATGAAGAGGGTGTGGGCTTAAGGACAAGTCACCAGCCCAGGCACCAGCTGCCAAGTTAACGGCTTTTGGTGAGAAAAACTGAAATCGCCACAAGCAAAATACCTCTTCTAAGCCTGATGATAACAATAACCCAAATTCATTAATTTATTATTACAATAGAAATATTTGTTAGCACTTCCGAAGATGTGCTAACAACCCAAATGATTTCAGTGACTGTTATTGGGATATATATGGTCCACTTAATAAACTAGCAGGTATTATTCAGCCATGCGACAGTAATGGCTACAAAGTTAGCTTAAACTCCTTGCATTGCAGAATTACAGAGGTTTAATTTGAAACCCAAACCTTACCCTAAGCAAGCATTTGTAGACCTAAAGTAGACGTTATACAAATAAGGCAGCATAAATCACCCTAAAAAACACTTTTATAAATTATATGAAAGAAAGTGATGGTTTGTGGAAGGCTAAAAGTAGTGCATTTTCTCCACCTGACAGTCAGGGGGGTAAGACAAGATCCAAGACCAAAGAAGCCAGATTGATTTGTGTGTAGTAAAACTGGTTTATCTGCTTACTGTGCTTTTAACATAGTTACATAGTTACAAGATCATAACTTTTCTACTGGAAATTGTTTCCTCCTGCTATAAATTCCAACCTCTGCTGAGGGTATTTTGAGTGGATACAGTAAGACCCCTCTTCTTGCAGTTCAGTCTTTAAAAGTTGGGTAAAGCTTGTCCATGAGAAGCAAACTGACTGCTCATGTTTCTGAAGAGGTTACCTTCAGCTATTTTAGGACGCTAAGTGTCCGTCTTCTGTTAAAATACAAGTATCCCAGTGCACATCTTTACCATTAGTTGTATCCCTGGCTAACTTAACACGAGTTTTCTGTAGAGGTTTGTGGTGGTTTTGTTGTTTTTAAAGTACAGGCCTGTGATGTGTTTGCTTTCTTTGGGACAGGTCCCTTGATGGGTGGAGGCTCAGCAGCGCACGCAAACACCGCTTCCCAGCCAATGGAGCCAACTCCAGCGTACGGAGTTGTAGCTTCAGAGCAAAGTGGCTCCAGCGCTCAATTTAAATCTCTAGGTTTTGTGATCATGGTGCAGTGTTCTCAACTTCTGCCAAAAGAGTTGAAAAATATCTTTAGGCAGGTAGTGATTACAAACAGAAACCTTGAGAACAAAAAATTTCCTAGCCTGTTTTTCATTTTTTAAACTAGCCTTGTGATTTTTATTTTTTTTAATGCCTACAGTTGACCTTCTGTGTATTGTAGTATGAATGGCAGCTTTTTGCATTTTTAATCTTTAATTTTTCTGTTAGTCATCCCATTTAACTTTCGGGATGATTCGTTGCTGCACTTACTTACACCCTGGCCTTATACTCAGGGTGAGCAGAGTCAAGTTCAAGGTATTTTAAAGACTCATCAAATAAAGAATACTGATTTCTATTACAGAAGTAAAGTTTTTCTTTATGGGCAACGAACTGTCTTGACTGGAAACATGGTCTGTATTTTGATGCTGTCAACATTCTACAGAAAACTAGGATGGGCTTAACCAAACAGGAACAATTGAAAATCCCCATACTATGCACGTATGGTACATTTTTTTATGCTCTTTTCCTAATAAAATTCCTATTCTGCAACATAGACAATATAAGCCCTGTCCAGAGTCCCACAGGTTAGGCATGTGAACCTCTTTTGAGGATGAGATCACAGGATTTGTGCCTAAATTGTAAATATTTGCTTATTGGTAAGGCTGAGAGCAGAGGCTACGGGAGAGAGGAGACCCCGTACGCCTCACGGAGCGATACTGCTTTCCTCCCGGCTCTGTCCCAAGCTTTGCCTGCATGAAAAGCCTCCAAAACTTTCTGCTTGGAATTGTCTAAAACAGGAGTTAAGCGCTTTGAGATCTCAAATTGCTTCTATAACCCTGTAAGCGGGTCCAATCCACAAGCCTAACTTGTCAGAGATGATGTTATTTCCCTGCATTTCTAAGTACAGTTTCACTGGGATGGGGGAGAAGGGGTCCTGGGACGCTCCCTTCTCCATCTGCACCCTCCCCTGAAGTCAGTTGGTGTTTCTGTATAAGCCTTACTCTGGACTGAGCAGAGCCAAGCAACTTGATGATTATTGACCAGACTGCAAACTGGTGCCTGAACTGGTTTGTATCCTTTCTGTGTAGGGCAATGGGCCTCAGGGGCCAATCTTGTTAGCTCCTGTACGCAACCTTTGATTGATGGAAGTGTCCCCCCCACCCCGAGGTTGTATTTCAACGCCAAAGCACACACTGCCATCCAGACCCAAAGGCAGGTGCTCACAAAGCGTGTGGGAAGAGTAACTTCACAGGGACTCGAAGGGCAGATTCTTAGGTAAGGGTGGGAATAAAGAAGGGAATACAGGGAAGCCATGCTGAAAGACAAGGACGTGGTGAAAA